TTTCACTGCCTCTCTCCCATCTTTATTATGTAAATAAGACAAACTTTTCCTGCAAATCCTTCTTTGCCCTTCTCTATACATTTTATGATTTTGCACCTCTTCCACTCCACGCCACCCCCACCTCCTTCTCTCTCTCTCTCTCTCTCTCTCTCTCTCTCTCTCTCTCTCTCTCTCTCTCTCTCTCTCTCTTTCTCACACACACACACACACACACACACACACACACACACACACACCTTGAAACTGTCTGGCAGAGACAGACTCTCCAAGGAACAAAAGGAAGAAAATTAAGGTAGAGATAACAGGAAGCTATATGAAAGGTGAGGAGGTGTTAAGAGCCACTGCCAAATAAATTTGACCCTGCCACATATCTATTACACATTTGGAAAATTACCTTGAATGAAAGTTATTTGTGCACACGCATTTTTTTCCCAACTGAATTTCAAGATTTTCAAGGGCAGACACCAGGACTCATTACTTTCTTTTCCCCTTGCAAAACTTAGCACAGCACCTGATACATTGCAACCTCTCAATATATATGTAATGAATTAATAAGTACATTAATTAAATAGTTAACAATAATCAGCAGGTCATCAGTGGCCATGGTTGTGCTCTCTAATGGCATGCAGAGAAGCAAGTTAATGATTTCCTAGCTCTTAATCCCCAGAAGTTCTATTTCTGCCATATCTATATAGATATCCTCCTATATAATAAAGAGGTCATATGCAAATTGATCATCACAGCCTTGCAAAAGAGGGCCACCCCCATGTGGTCACGAGATGGCACCACAAGATGGCCAGCAGGGGAGGGCAGCTGGGGGCAACTAGGCTGGCAGGGGAGATCAGTTGGGGACAACAAGGCCAGCAGGTTAGGGCAGTTGAGGGCAAATGAGGCAGCAGGGGTGGGCAGTTGGAGGTGATCAGACTGGCAGGGGAGCAGTTAGGTGTTGATCAGGCTGGCAGGGGAGTGGTTAAGGTGTGATCAGGCTGGCAGGCAGGAGCAGTTAGGGGCAATCAGGCAGGCAGGCAGACAGGCAAGCAGTTGGGAGCCAGCAGTCCCAGATTGTGAGAGGGATGTCCCAGATTGGAAAGAGTTTAGGCTGGGCTGAGGGACACCCCCCCCCCCCAGGGGTGCACAAATTTTGCACACCAGGCCTTTAGTTAATAATAACTTCAAATAAATGAGATCCACCTAAGAGATGGGCTTACTACTAGGAGCCCCAAACCCATTTTGATCTTTTAATGAAAGAAGGGCATATATGACTCACACAGTACAGACTTTTTAAAATGAACTTTAATTTCCATGTTGTTGGCAGTAGCTTTTAGAAGCAGCAATGTGAATGGCTAGAAGATTCAAAAGGGGGCAGAGGATGCGGGCCAGCTGGAAGGTTACTGGCAGCAGGCCCCTGGTATATCATAGAACCCAAGGTTCCCATCACCTAGAATTTAAAAGCTCCAATAAGAAGTGATGATAGCCATTTAATGGTGTGGTACTTACCTCTTTACAAAGTCTATGACCCCATTTAATCCTCCAAGCAATTATGAGCCCCCTGTTCCTACTCCTATGCATCCCTACCTCAGCCAACTCATTCCACAATTTAAAGCTACATGTAGTGAATTCTACATATAAGTGAAATCATATGGTACTTGTCTTTGTCTGACTTATTTTACTCAGCATAATATCTTCTAGGCCTATCCATGTTATTGCAAATGGTAAGATTTTATTCTTTTTCTTTTATGGCCAAGTAATGCTCCATTATATATTTACAATTGTATATTTGTACCACATCCTTCTTTCAGACTCAGATACAGAGATCAAATTGATAGTTTCCAGATGAGAGTGATTGGGGGCAGAATGAAAAAGGTGTAGGGATTAAGAAATAAAAATTGGCAGTTACAAAATTAGTTACAGAAGGCAGAGGTGGTTAGGGAGGCTTGTCCTGCAGCCTGGGAGAGGGACCAAAAAACCCCAAAAAACTACTATACAAAATACTCACGAGGATGTAAAAGTATAGCATAAGGCAATGGTTGGCAAATCGTGGCTCACAAGCCACATGTGGCTCTTTGGCCCCTTGAGTGTGGCTCTTCCACAAAATACCACTTGCGGACACGCACATACAGTGTAATTGAAGGAGTACCCTAATTAAGTTAATAACAATGTACCTACCTATATAGTTTAAGTTTAAAAATTTGGGCTCTTAAAAGAAATTTCAATCATTGTACTGTTGATATTTGGCTCTGCTGACTAATTACTTTTCCAACTACTGGCATAGGGAATATAGTCAATAATATTGAAATAACTATGTATGGTGCCAGGTGGGTAGTGGACTTATTAGGGGCATCACTTTGTAAAATATAAATGTCTAATTATTATTCTGTCCCTCTGAAATTAATATAATATTGAATGTCAACTGTAACTGAAAAATTAAACATTAAAAAAACAAAGCCACATATAGTAAAAATATACACACTGTAACTAACAACAGTGATAAAAATAAAATGATAAACAAATATGTGGGTCACATAAAGCATACGTAAACTGAAATCAGTGTTCAAACATGAAATAATAATAGTGGAAATAATGAGCTCACATTTGCTAAGATTACACTAGAAGCCATTAATTTTCCATGCATATCCACAAACCATCCTGTGAAGAAAGCACAGTTATTATTCACATTTTACAGCTGAAGAAATGAAGGCATAGAGAAAATAAGAGACTTAACAAAGGTAAAAAGCATAAAAGGCCAGGGTTTGAACCCAGGAATTTTCTGCTCTGAGTGAAAATATGAATTACTTCCATGGCCAAATCAATGTAAGAAATAGTGAACTAAACAAAAGTCTGTACTACAAGACTTCACTTTTTTTTTTAGCATACTGGTTTGCATTGAAATGCTGCAAGAGTTATTTTCTATACTCATTTGATCATGACACACTTTTGTTCTTATGAAACCCAATATGCCAATTTGGGGAGCATCCCATAAGTTTAGCTCTACCTTAGATTAAAAGCCCTTTAAAAGCTATAGATGTTTCCAAAGAAGGCACTGAGAGCCTCACAGCACATCATAAAAAATAACAAGAAGAAAAATCACCTGCACTTACATTGGACCAGGCTCTTAAGTAAGTTGTTATTCCCATTTTTGATAAGAAGAAACAAGCTCAGGGAGGCTTGCTCAATCTGCCCAAGTGTGGAGTCAGATTAAATCCAGGCAGGCTGACCTCAGAAGCGATGTTCTGAACTATAGGACTATGATATGATGTTCTCCCCACATGGAGCAGTGAGTACCAAGGATTCCTAAGCAGCAGAGTGTTACCATAAGTACAGCCTAGAGCAGAGCCTGCCTGTGAGCTTGGGCTGGAACAATTTAACTTTACCAAACCTCAGTCTTTACAATAGAAGCAATAAAACCTACATCCCTAAGGTTGAGATGAAGACAAAAGACTTAATACAGTTACTGGCTCCCAGTTCAATAAGTATAAGCTAAAAATGGACTTAATTCTAAACAGCATATAACATTTTCTAGAAATTTTATTTTTAGAATTTTTTAGGTGAGACTGTCCTCCCTTAAATTTCTTTCAATGCACAGATAACAATTGGCAGGACAGGGAAGGCATCGTGAAGTCACATATACCTGTTCATTTGTCTGGCTGGTAAACTGCCACAGGGAGACACAGTTGAACACATAGGTTCCGTCCAGTAGGCCTTCTTTATTTAATAACTAGAGGCCTGGTGCATGAATTTGTGAATGAGTAGGATTCCTTTAGGTGGCCTGCAGGGATCAGGCCCAGCTCACACCTCCAGACTTGCATCCCCATCTGGCACCCTGCCGTGACCTGGCACCACCCCCTCAGCTACTCCATCATCCCACCAGCAGAGCAATCGATCAGAGCTGAGTGATTGATCAGAGCTGTGCCCCACCCTCCCCTGCTTCCTCAGTGCCTGGGAGCTGGGTGGTGGCCCTGCTCCCTCAAACCCCTGCTGCTGCTGGAGCAATCTGTAGGGCAATTGGGCCCTGGCTCGCACCCACCTTGGCCTGGCACAGCCCACTCACCTGCTCCACAATCCCCCCATAGTCCCGCTCTTGTCAGTGCTCATTGGTGCCCATTGGGGCCAGCAACACCTCCACTGTTGCCAGCTGCCACTGAAGTATCACCGATGCCCGCCATATTCTGCACTGCCCCCTGGTGGTCAGCACATATCATAGAAAGCAGTCAAACTCTGGGGCAAACAATTTGCATATTAGGCTTTTATTATATAGGATGAACACTTTCTCATAGGATCACATTCTTTCTCCTCCGATCACCCTTTGCAAATTCCATTCAGATTCTCCCTCAGAGAGGGGCTGGCTCTCTTCAGACCTACTGGATTCTGCTCCTGAGAACTGTTTACTTCATTTGCATATGGCTTATCTAATCATATCATTACCTTGCTGGGTCCCTTGAACCTTGGCTACCAGAAGTGGTGCCTACGCAGCTGAGAACCACCAGACCTCTCCACACAGTTGAACTTCAACATGGTCTTGTTCACCTCACATTAGGGACACAAAAATATAAACACATTCCAATCTCTTTAGCTTCACCTGGCCTTTGTCTTTAAGTATCTAAATAAGTACACCATATTCTCCCAAACCCTCTAATTTATGTTCTCTTTCAATAACATTACAGAATGTTTCCATGCATACATAAAGGGCAAAGGATACTTTTACAAACACACTAGTTCTATACACATTATTTATTTAATCTGATACATTTTCTCCTTTGATGCAACAGATTTCTCTTCTGATCAATACTAGCCGCCAAATGACTAAAAAAGAGAAAGTAATGAACAGAATCTATTGTCACCCTACAGCAAGGCACCGTCCATCCAAGGCCACCTCTGGACAGGTGTGGCCTCAGGACAAAACACACAGTAGGGCAATTCTGTGCTGGACTTCAGCTCTCACTCTCCCATACTCTGGAAGCTCTCAGCACTGCACATTCCAAATAACTGCATGATATCCTCCATTGTCTCTTTCTAAATTATTGTCCTTCCAACTGCATGCAAGAGCAACCTGGAGAGACTTTGACAGCTCAGGTCAGCATAATACCTGCAGCTGCCACTCGCCTTTCCTATATCTCTAGACCTGGGCTTGGGAGCCTGGGCTTGGGTCCATGCAGGTGCATGTGTACTGAATCAACTTTTTGGTTTAGAGCTTTCACACTTTTTTCTTGTAGGCTGCCTCCATGTCTCCTGGCAGCGAATGATAATGACATAGCTGAGGATACCAGCTTGTTGCTGCCCCTATGTTTTAGAATAAGGTAAAGTTAGATGTTAAAGCAACCTGACCTTCCAGTACCCTTTCCCATCGGATCTGAACATCGATCTTGGTCATCATAGAGGAGGAAAAGTAATAGTGAAGCTGGCCTCACATGCTTGTAATCTGTGGGCTAGTTTCAAACAAGGTTGAAAAGAAGAAAAAAAAAATTATTGTCCTAACTTCTTATCTAGACTCCTTTCTTTCTTACTCTTAATACCCTATATCCTATTCTCAGCACAGTACTTGAATTGATCTTTTCAAAATGTAAATCAGATCATATGAATCTCCAGCTTGAAATTCTCAACCTTGGAATAAAATGGAAAGTTCTTGTCATGACCTACAAGACCAAGTAGGCCTGGCCCCTTCCTTCCTCACTGTGGATACTACCCACTTGCTCATTCTGTTCCAGCCACAGTGGCCTTCTTTCTGTTCCTGGGACACTCCAAGTTTCTTCCCACTTCAGGATTCGTGTTCCTTCTATTAGTCAAATAAGTGGCTTTCCACAATGAACCTGCGGGGCCGGAGAAGGGGGGGTGGGGGGGAGTCGCAGGGGTGGCGAAGGGCGCAGTGTATATGGGTCTGCAAGTCAGTTTGACTTTGCTAGGACCAGTTCTGCTTCAGATTGCAAGTTGGCTGAGCTCAGATCAGATCTATCCCACACATATCATATTCTTTTTGAACCTGTGATGATCAGGGCATGTTCTTTCCATCATAAGTAGCAGGAATATAAGAGGCTAGGCTAAGCTATGCAAACATGTTTAAAGTATTGGAGATAGTTCCATTGGCCAAAATAAGTCATGATCATGTCCATCATCTGAGTAGTAGGAAACTACACTTCACTCACAATGGGAAGATGCTGCAAAGCCACCTGGAAAATGAGATGAATAGATATCCCAGTGCAGGAATTAAATTAAACCTTTGTTTTGCTTTTCAGAGGATTCTATGCCCATCATTTCTGCTTCCTAGAAGAACTGTATTAATGAATTAATTTTCCCAATGAAATAGGTAACAAATCAACTTGACAGCCCCATCCTATAGAGCTAATATGCAAATGGTCATCACGCCCTCATGCGTGAAGTATTAGTTCCCAGAATCCCATCTACTGGACTGCCCCTATCACCTAGAATGGCCGATTCTCATATTTCCTCATAGCTGACTCTCATCTTCAGTTCCTAAAAGGGGTCCCCACTGACCATTGTATTCCCAGTGTATACATACTCCCATATACATTGGGTACTTGGCCATAGCTCATGTATCCACAATAACTGTCTAATCCATTATCCATTTTTATTTTATTCATATTATGTATATATTTAAATTAATTCACTTATTTATTTACTGACTTCTTTATCATATCTCCTTTCACTAAGAATGTAAGCCAGAATTTTATGTCTTATTCAGTGCTTGAACCACCTAGCACAGGGTAAAGTCTCAATAAATCTTGGTTGATTAAATACCTAATATTAGTCCCTCAGCATATATTCACTTACTCATTGTAATAAATGAGTAAATATATGAGTGTTGTGGTGGGAGAGTCAGAGAGAATAATTGCTTATATAATATAACATAGTCAAGAACAAAAGACTTGAAATAAAGCTCTAGCAGTATATGATCTAAGCCTCAGTGTTGATATCTATGGAATGGGAATAAAAACTGTAGATTTTCTGCAAGGATTAAATGAGATTATGCACACACACACACACTGACCTAAAGATGGGAGATTAGACATCCCAGATAATGAGAGCCTTGTAGGACAATGTAAAACATTTGTAAATGGGTGACTCAGATGGAACATGTACTTCTGAATGCCTCAACCAGATTTCTCTAGAAAAAAGTAGGTAGGTAGGCCTCTAATCTATTGTCACACAGGTCATTCAGGTTGGTACTGACTAGTGGCAGCACTCCTCAGTGGCCTGTTCACATTTCTCTGTGCTGAAGGACTCTTGGTGGCCATTTAAACCAGTTTCCATTCCCCTAAGCATCACTTCAGGTCTTTGAAATGATCTATAAATTAATCCTAAATTATATGGTTACACTTTTCCATGAGACCCTAATAAAATTACATTTTAGGAGCATGGAATTAAATTAAACCTTTGTTTTGCTTTTCAGAGGATTCTATGCCCATCATTTCTGCTTCCTAGAAGAACTGTATTAATGAATTAATTTTCCCATGAAGTAGGTAACAAACCAACTTGACAGCCCCATCCTATATAATAAAGAGCTAATATGCAAATGGTCATCACGCCCTCATGCCATCATGCCTTAATGGCTCAGACACTCAACATTGGAGAGAGAGAACTGGGGACAAGCCAGGCACAAATAAGTTCATGAGAGATGAATGGGGACCAGCCACCCACTGCCCTTGTGGTCCCGTGGGTCAGCAGCTGTGCCTGCAGCCTGGGAAAGGGACAAGCCACCCACCCCGCAGTCCTGAGCACCAGTGCCCATGCCTGCAGTCCAGGAAAGGGACAAGCCGCCTGTCCTGCAGTCCCAGGCACCTGTGGCTGTGTGTGACCCAGGTGAAGCTGCATGCCCACAGTCCCCTGCGACTGCAGCTGGACCAGGCAAAGTTGGTCCAGGTCTTGGGTGCCTATGACCAGCCCAGAGGGAGTGAAGCCTGGGTCCCAGGTGTGGGGTGAGGCAGAGGCAGTTAGGGGCGATCAGGCCAGCAGTGGAGCAGTTAGAGGAGTGATTAGGCCAACAGGGGAGTAGTTAGAGGCAATCAGGCAGGCAGGCAGAAGTGGTTAGGGGCAATCAGAAAGACAGAGATGATAAGGGGCAATCAGAAAGGCAGGCAAAGAGGTTCGGAGTGATCAAGCAGGCAGGAAGGCAAGCAATTAGAAGCCAGCGATCCCAGATTGGGAGAGGCAGTCGGACATGCCCCAAGGGGTCCTAGATTGGAGAGGGAGCAGGCTGGGCTGAGGACCCCCTTCCATACATGAATTTCATGCACCAGGCCTCTAGTTTTTAATAAAAGGATGAATTGAAGTGAAGAGCAGGAACTCACCCCAGTGTCAGTTCCCCTAGTTGAGACAATATGTGATTAATTCTCTTAGTTTAGGATTGACCTCTAGTTAGTATGGCCTTGTATATAGTCAATCCTCCCATTTTTTAAAAGAATACCAAAATTTAGTTGTTTGATAATCGTTTTGTGTCAAGAATATAAGAAAAACAGTTACTCTTATTTGATGGCAATGTGAGTCTATAATCTTTCCCAAGAGTAATTTGAGTAATTTGGCATTCCCATCAAAATTTAAAGTGCACATTAATTTTGGCCAAGAACTTTTATTTTTAGAACTGCAGGCTATAGTCACTCTTATCCAAACAAAGAAGAAGGGATGGATGGATGGATGGGTAGATAGATAGATAGATAGATAGATAACAGATGATAGATTTTAGTATAAAGATTACATATAGATAAATCTTTTAATTCGCATTGTTCTAAATTGAAATAAACAAAGAAGTATAAACTTGCATATGATAAGAAAAATTTTGGAAGGCTGAACAAAAAACCTATTCAGAATAATAATGGAGATAGGTTAGCCAAAGGGACAGAAGAGAGTAGAGAAGCTCCAAGGAGAAAGAAGAAACTATAATTTTTCCTCTGATGGTATAATGATTTTATTTTAAAAACATGAGTAGGTTTTAATTTATTTTATAAATATATAATTAACATGAAGAAGAGAAAAATTGTATCCGTTCACACTGAATTGTGTATAGTACGCATTTAAAGGCATTTAACTTCTTTGTTCACGTTCCTGGCTCACTTGCTCCCATATCAAAGACAACATATACATTTTCTTCCTAAAATGAGAGAATTGACTTCAGCATCTCAAGGGTTCATGTTTAAATTATGTGAGCCAAAAGAGAAAACAGAGTACTGTGGGCTTGGGACAAGTGGCTGGAAGATTGGGAGCAATGTCATTTTAGGTCACCCTGTGGGAGTACATCAGGGCTCTTCTATTGGGATTTTCAGAACTGAGGTTTGTCTGTTCATATTAGAGGTAGTAGAGCATAATTGGAATATTGGCCTTATTCATAGTTGCAACCCATGGAGAAGCTTAAATGAAGGTCACTCTGTCAAGGTCAAACATTAGAATTCATTTATCTAAAAGGGTCCATGCCATAGATAGAAAATGTAACAGGCACCCTCCCCCTCCACTGGAAAAATTAAACAGCTATCATAGAAAATTGGTTCTGAGTATCTGTGATATGGGTTAACAACCTTAACGACAACAATAATGACTTAGAATACATACTTTGAGCCAGGCTTTGTGCTAAGCACACTACATACACTGTCTCATTGATCCTCACAACAGATCTGTCATGTTTATCTTACAGATTAAGTACTTATCCAACAGTTTAGAAGTGGTGAAGCCAGGAATAAAACTATGTTGGCTTGATATATACTCTCAACTACTTATGGTAAGATGCTATTATTTTTGCCTTGGCACTGGAAGAGGCTTTTAGAGAGGCAAGGTCACTTACTCTGCCTTGCACAACAGTGGAAAAGTTCACATCTGCACATCCATTATCTAGGCTTCTGGAGCCAAGGTTCACAGCCACTCTGCCTTTCCCTTTTGGCACTTCTGAAAAAGGAGTTCTGCCGGAACCGTAATAACTACTCGGAAAGTGCACAGTCACCGCTGTATCAATCGTTTCTCAAGGTACTTTGCAATGCTTGGGCTCTCAGGATAGAAACCCAACCTTCTGCTTCTTTCTTCAGCCCCTTTTATTTTATTCTTTAAAACAACACTATTAAGGAGATGCTGTTTTCTTCTTTTTATTGTTGTGAAAATGGAAGTTCTGATATATTAAGC